ATCGACTTGATGCGGGATGCGATAGGTTCATTGAGGTCTGCATCAAATGCGTCATCCGAAAGCACAAAACGGCCTGCCTCTACAACCTTTTCAAAATTAGTTGCTTCGTTGCGGGAGTAATTAGTCTCAGTGTGCTGTAGTCGCTGTGATATGGCGAGTCGCACAGACTGGGGAAGTCCCTGCCAAAAGTATCGGTCTCGTTCGCGTTCCGAGATTTTCGAATTGGCAACCAACCAAACAGCTATGGGACGGAACTGGCGATAATACTGCACTAACTCCGTTTCTGTAGAGACGTCAGACTCGACTGTGCTGAGGATTACGCGTTCGAGATCGCGAATGGTATATCTTGCTCCTTTCGCGGCTCCGGGATACTGTCCGATAATATTCGTTTTGAAGATGCTAAAATCTTTGCTCTCGTATCCTGTAAGCGTGACCCAGAACCTTTTAGTCTCAAGGTTGACATATCGGACTATCATTTTGCATTTGTCGGCATCGGTGAGTCCGCAGGACGAGGATAGGTCTTCAAACAGTTCTGGAACTCGAGGAGTTCAGACGTCTCGCCGCTGAAGGTCGGGGCTTTACTAGACCCAGGACCGGGCATAGCAGATATTCCCTTGTTGGCCGTTGACATGGGGGGAGCGGGTATAGATGGTGGTGGCCTTTGCGTGGACTGTGGTGCGGTAGGCTGGATAGTCGAGGGTCGGGTTTGAGGGAGTGCGGGCGGTTGAGTCTGCGATGATACGTTCTGGGGTACAAACTGTGGTTTAGGAATAGGAGGGACGGCTGTCGAGAAGGGGGCTGTTGTGTTTTCGTGGGGTTTAGGAGGTATGGAAGGGTACGTTGGAGTCTCGGGATTGAATACTGCGGATCTAAGAGGAAACGTTTGAGGAGAGGGAAGTGGCGGAAACAGTGAGTTGAAACGGGGTAATTGGCTTAGGGTATCGTCTTCAGAGATGGAAGATTCGGAAGGAACGTCGGATATGTCTACGTATTGTCTTGTGCTTGCGCGAGTTGGGGTTCGATAAGTGTCGGTCTGTTTTGGAGGAGTTTGATCGGTTGATGTTTCGAGGAGGTGGGGTAGGGAGGATACAGTGAAGGTATTTGCGCGGGTTCTGAGCTTCTTAGGAGTGGGGGGCGTTCTTCAAGGGTGCCAGCGCAGTTGGCTGTTCCTGTTGGAGACGTATCTGCGCGTTTGGATGATAGTATTTAGTAATCGCGAAAGATTTTTATCAAAAGCAAACGATCTTCGACAGAGATTGACGGATCGAACTTGGGGTGCAAGGGTAGCTCGAGAGCAATTCCCCTCGCGGTGGGCTCCAATATGTAACGCTGCGTGAGAGTTCGATAGGGAATTGGTCTTTCTAAGCAGTAATAGGACTAGGCTTGTATTTAGTAGACTTCACGATTTAGAATGAAGGATTGAGAACGCGAGGCTAGCTTCTGACAGACTTGGAGCGGGGAAGTTCACGAGTGTGATTCTGCTATCGAAGTGAGAGTACATGGGCCGTATATATACGTTCGAGGGGAGTCGTACTAATCGGAAACGAGTTGGAGAGCATGTGGAACGAAAGAGATATCGGTGAAGAAACGGGTATCGTGGAAGGAGAGCACAAGGTAGGATGACGGTAAGAAATGTAGAGGGCCAAAGAAGGATGTATCCCCGTAACTCGGACGCGAAGTGTAAAACTTCTTCGTGTCGGTGAGTTACGTAGACGCGCGCTAATGCGACTCTATCTGAAGCATGGATCGGTGTGTAAAGGATATCCTATCCTTACAGGACGACGATATTGGGTTAAATGTCCTTGCAGCTTTTTGTGCTCCACAGTCGTTTTGTCTCATCGCATGATGTGAATATTTGGAGATGGGCTAGATAGCATGTGGCCAGTGTCGCCTCCTGACCAGGCGATGAGCCCTCCGTTGTCACCACCGCTTGCTGCTAATCCTGATTATGTCGTGATTGTCGTATGCGATGATCTCAATGAATGTGGGTCACGGTGATTAGCGTTGTTTGTCGTAGTGACTTTCGTGGTGTCTTGGGTGTCGTGAGGTGACCGCTTCTTGATGGTGTCGTATCTTCTCGTCAGCTTGTAACCCGTGACCTTGGTGGGTTATCGTAGCGATCGCATTTGTGCGCTGGCGTAGTGATGCAATACGGGCGTTGGAACCAAAGCCGCATCGACGCTGGGAGGCAGCGCTTGGTCGGCGCGAATCTGTTCACATACAAGTTGCGCAAGGTGGCCAACTAGCAACACTGAAATCAACAAACAATCCTGGCGTCAAGAGAAAAGATTGGCCGATCGTGTTGGCATGTTGCCGCAGACGGTGTTCAATCGCAAAGCTCCAGGTTTGCGCTAACAAACAGTGATGAGCGACATACTTAATTTAGTGATGAACATGTTCGTACCTTATCCTGCTTGAGCTTATGCAGGTGGACCTCTCAAGGTGATATTGAAGCGCTGTAGAAGTGTGAGGGGAGGGGTATGAGTCGGCCGGCAGCGTGTTTCGTAACCAGCATCAAAGGCCTTCAGTCAGGAGGCAGCGGTCTTTGTCTTCTGAGCTAACACTCATCAGTGAGGTGGGCTGATCCGGAAGGAGAAGTGCTAGGACTCGTATACATAGACGTCGCCGGAATTTTTTGACTAGAGCAATTGGCCGAAAGTTCGGCGGACGAGAGAGAGTACTGTCGATAGTGAGAGCTGTCGTTCATGAGGGGCCCTTTCGTCACCAGATGACTCGCTGCCTTTGGTGTCCAAGGCTTCGCCAGTGAAGATATCCTTCCCGTTGACGAAGCCGCTGTCAGGGGCTACAGACTGACTACTGCGGAGGGAGATAGCGGCCTTCGTTATAACGTCCGTGTCGACCTGGTGGTCGTGCTTAGTGCGTAGCATAGCATGGTTGTCCTATAGTAACAAATCAGTACTGCCTCATCCATAATCCTTTCGTCACCAGACGACTGGATATCCTTTAAGTCGTCGTCGCAGGCCACGAGGGTAGTGTCGGATGTGATTGATAAAGGGTCAATTGTAACCGTCTCTCGATCACATCCGACAAGGAAATCCAGCAAATCAAGAGTAATAGTGATGCTGAGCAATGATTTGAGTACAATTTAGTGAGGAAGATCACCGAAATAGCGAAAAATACCTCTTGAATGGAACTGGTCATGCTAAATTTGTGGGCGGGTGATTACATGCTGGGTGCAGTGGGAACGGTATCGGTAAGGTCCTCGCCGGTGGAGGGTGCACTGATCTCGCCGTTGAGGAACTTTGAAGCACCACTACTGGCGGCCAGAACAAGAATGACCGCCGACATACATGTCGACATGACGACTCGCCGGCAGAAACCTTCCTTGGTCCAGAATCCAGATCGAATAGGACGGAGGACGGTTTTGTCGAAGAAACTGTAGAAAGCTCGTATTGGCTACGCGTGAAGTGACTTGGCAAGGTGATAGAAATCATAATGGCGAATATCGTTAGACATACGGCGTACTGGCAAGATGTTGACAGCGGGCGATTCCAGCACATCTAGTTTATTATACTACGATATTTGTGCGTGCTTGCCAACTCGAAAAACAAACCAATCGCGACGCGTCAGTCACGTGCTTGGAAAAGCAACCTATAAGTCTGAAGACCATGCGATGATCAGATCCACATCGTTCATACCTCACTGAAAAAAACATCAAGAATCATCCGCATTATCACAGGTTCGAGAAAATAACTTATGGTCACCTAGAAAATTTTACAAACAACACTACATCCATCCATTCATCCGACCAATGCATCTTTAGCTCACGACGTCGCAACTTGCGGCCCCCCAATCGACATGTCCAAAAACTGGTTTTGTAAAGCGTGCACACCACCATGCGCCCCAGGACCTTGTGGGTATTCTCCCGACGGTGAGCTCTGAGGGTAGCCACCTGCTGCAGGCGGCCCATAACCATTGCTTGCAGGCGGCAAATACCCGTGCCCCTCAGACCCCGGTCCAGCGAGTCCACCCTGTCCAGTTGGAGAGAGCTGTGGCTGATGCGGTGGAGAATGATAGCTATATGGCGCTGGGACACCTGCAGTCGCAGATGTCGTTCGTTGCAGCGAAGATACACCACCAGTTGGACTGGTTGGTGACACCTGTGGGGCAGATGCAGGATCTTGGTAGTATGACTGCGATGGGTATTGACTTAGTTGGGGGTTGGGGTTCATATACTGTGCGTGCTGGGAGGTTGGTGATTGATGTATAGCTTCCTGGCGTGCAGGCGGTTGCTGAGCCTGAGCCTGGTATGGGTCCTGCGGTGATTGGTGCGACTGAGGGATTTGCTCTGGCGGTGGTGATGTGTCCTTTACGCCTGGCACTGAAATAAAGTATACCGCTCCAGCAGCATCCGTCCCACCCTGCGCATAGTATTGTGCCCATGCCTGAACGTTCGGATCCGGGTATGTCGCATTGGGATCAAAAACGTAGGGCGGGCCAGCGTTTTGAGGCTGTTGTTGCTGAGTTTGTGGCTGTGGCTGTGGCTGTTGGGCATGTACTCCGGGAGAATAATCAGCAGGTTGTTGTGCCTGTGGTAGTTGTTGGGGATGAAGTTGCTGTTGAAGTTGCTGTTGGGCATGTACTCCAGGCGAATACTCAGCAGGCTGTTGTGCCTGTGGTTGTTGCTGGGAATGAAGTTGCTGTTGAGGTTGCTGCTGAAGTTGCTGCTGGGGTTGCTGCTGAGGATAAGGCGTTTGGGAAGTCTGCGGGTACGGTGTCTGTGCAGGCTGAGGGTACGGTGCTTGTGCAGGCTGAGGGTATGGCGCTCCACCACCGTGTCCACCATAAGCTTGCCCTTGTTGGTACGCATATGCAGGGTCAGGGTGCTGCGGTGGTCCGGGATGAGGCTGGGATTGAGGCTGAGGCTCGGGCTGAGGCTGATAAGCATTATTGGGACCTCCATATCCATATGGCTGGGGTTGGTCGTAACCGTATCCGTATGGTTGTGCCGGGTGCGGACCAGCATCGTACACTGCAGGTCATAATGAGATCAGATAACATAGAGAGTCGTCTAGCTTACTCCCGGTGTGACGCGCAAGGCTATCTTCCATTATCCGATCAAATATCGTGCGTGCTTTCACAAAGGACTCGTTCATCGATACCAAATCAGCTATTTGAACCATCAACATGGTTTGACCAGGAAGGGGAAAGAGATCGTACCCCGCTTCTGGTTGTACTTGTCAATGAGTTTGACAATCTTGGGACGGAGGGCCATGCATGAGCGGTATAATTCCTGGATCTCCTCGTTGTCGGCTAGGTTCTCTCTTGATGCATCCAGACCCCTTAGCATTGTCAGCAGTCGATCGACGTTCGCGGCTTGAGCGAAGACAGATGCTTCTTGTTCTGCCTCGCGAGCAAGCTCAGCAGCCGTTGGCTCTGGGAGGGGTTCCTACGCATAATGAAATAAATAATGGAAAGACAAGCGCCAAATAGGTGATGGAGCAGAACGGACGCAACAGCAACGATTGAGAGCATGTGAGCCTATTATCATGATGGAGTGGGAGCAAAGAGAGACGTACAACATAATTCACGGGAAATATTCCTGTGCGTCCCTTCAATTGTCCTCGCCACCAATCCTTGTAGCCTCGATCCACAACCTTGATCACTTCACCTTTTTCAAAGGCGAGTTCGCCCGGTTCTGTAGGCTCAAAGGTGTGCAAAGCGCGGACGCGAGTGACTACTGCTGCAGAGGCTTGGGATGGGAGCGACGATGTCGAAGAAGCAGCCATGGCTGAAACGCCGCCACTTGTTGCAGAGTATCCTGAGGTTGTCCTGGCGTTTGAATTGTGACTATTTACTGCGTGTGTGGGAGCCTTTGGGCTCGGCGAGCGCGCTGGGACATACCCAGATGCATACTTTGCTGCACCGGATGGACCAGCTGAGGCAGCAGGTGCGTAAGTGGATCGCCCGCCCTTGTCGCGCATGCTGATTTCGAGGGCGCGCTGGAGTTCCTCCTCCTCACGTCGGCGTGCCTCGTCATCGACACTCGGTGGGGCTGGCTCGGAGGGAGTTACGAATTGATAGCCTGTGAGCCAAGGGATAAGTCGGGATTCCGTAGGTTAACGCAATGAGGAGAGAATGACGAGAATCAAAGTTGGTGAAGAAGGTGATGCGGGTCAAGGGGAAGGGGACGAACATACTCTTTGCTTTCAGATTGTTGTAGCAGTCCTCCATAATTCCTAGAGTGGGGTCGTGTTCAAACTCTGCTGTCCACATCGCGATGAGACCGAGAGCCCTCCGACGAACTTTTTCATGTGTTGTCTGTCAAGCATCAGAATCAGTTTAGTCCGCAGCATAATATGGAATAGTGTCCAATTAAAACTCAAGGACAATTTCAAAACAGGAGTATGCACGCACCCGATCAACAATAAGCTTCTCCAATGCCCCAGTAAATGCTCGGCTGGCAAGCTCGCGATGAAGGTCGATGCCACAATTCTTTGAGAGAGATTCTCCTAGCGAAAGAGCGTAGAGTTGTACATTGGGGCTACGGTGGGTCAGACGCTTCAAGAGCGCTGCGATCACGTTACGAGCACTGTCAAACCCAATTCGCGTCAGGATCGGGAATTAAGCACCAGCAAATTGACTGGTTTGATATCGTGCTACAGTGAAAGGCTCACCCCTGTTCACCCTCTTCCTGTACTTTATCACATAGATTGAGAATGACCTCCCAGTTCTCGCCTGTCAAATTCTCATCGGTGGCCTTGGCTGAGTGAGACATTGTAAACATTATATCAGAATACGACGGTTGATACGGTGAGTATCGGGCACTCACCCACTACTTCATCGTAAGGATTGGCTTGGTTTGCTCTAAACATGGTTGCTTTCAGCTACCTGGTCGTTGAACAAGAAGATGATGACGAATATGCTTGCTACCGTAACAAGTTCGTTATAGTGCACCAACAGCTGCGCCGCTGCGGAGGCAGTGCAGTGCCGCAAATACCCGTTGCTCCAAGCGCTATCTTAGTCCAATACACATATACCATCATATACAATTACACTATCTTCCATTCTACCAAGGACAATGGCTAGAAGTCAGTCTGATAGTGAATTACAACAACATTAACTGACTTCCAACAGTTCCCCGCAACTTCCGCTTGCTAGAAGAGCTGGAGAAAGGAGAGAAAGGCATAGGAGATGGCAGTTGCTCGTATGGTCTTATGGACGGCGACGATATAATGATGAGCAACTGGAACGGAACTATTCTTGGCCCCGGACATGTAAGTGCTCTCAGTCAGTATCATATCGTCTACTGATCGATATACTTGGTGCTGGATTCTTCGATCTGCCATTGTATCGCCTGTGTTGTTCTATCGCTTCTCTGGATCTCTTCGGGCCTACTCTTTGATTTATCTTTACACTGCCACGCCGCAGACCGTTCACGAGAACCGTATTTACAGTCTGAAGATCCATTGCGCTGAAGATTACCCCGAAAGGCCACCCACCGTTCACTTCCTCTCCCGTGTAAACCTCCCTTTTGTGTCTCCGATCGATGGCAAGATTGATCCTACGAGGCTCAGTGTACTCTCTCAGTGGGGGCGCGATAGCAGTATCGAGACCATCCTCGTTGGTATCAGGAGGTATGCACATCTCTTCCTTATCTTGTATCTCGATTGCTCGCCTCGAGAATTTCTGATCATGTTACTGATGTCCTGTTTGCGCAGGGAGATGGCAACAGCCAGCAATCGGAAGCTTCTCCAGCCTCCAGAGGGGACTAACTTCTAAAGTCGCTTTTATCCTTAGAGGATGGACTATCACCTGGTTGGCTTGCACTGATGTACAACATGAATTATACAAGATGAAAGTGTACCTCAACGACGAGGCATTAATATTTGCTGATGGGGTCATATATGTCATATCAGATCTAAGAAGAGTGGAATTCGTCGAACTCTGACACTTTCATATCCCGCTGACGCTGCGATAGTGATGCTTCTTATCTCGAGCGGCTGAAGTAGAAGTGTGCGTCTTCAAGTTCGCCCATTGTCACTGCTTCCGCATGGATTCGGTCGGGGATATCGAGCATCGATGAAACGACATTCCCGTAAAGGTGTAATATGGTAGTATTCTAACCGTTCAGACGAAAGGGCAATAGATCTCGTGTATCTATACTATCCCCTTGGTGTAACATGGGAACATAGCTATCAAGTGCGTAAAACTGCTTAGATATCTCAGTACTTGTCCTAATGAATCCATCATGGCGTCAGAGAGCCACGTCTTTGACTTGCACAATGGTATCATCATCTGACGCGATTCTCTTGTATTCTCCATCGCGCTGCGTGCTAACAAAAATGCGCCATAAGGGTGTCCAAGACCAACGCGAGTCAGTCGCGCCAGCGGAGACTTCGGCACGGACTGCCTGCTGCACAGTGTCAGGTAGCTCAAAGATATCAGAAATCGTTGCATGATCCTGGCGCTACGTCAGTCAGTGGCATGTCAAATCCCGTGGTGGCAATCAGATGACGGGTCCAGAAAACCGAAGCTTTCTTAAGCACTAGCTGACTCGTTTGTGAGTGTGGACTTCTAGTCTGACTATCAAATTTGGCAGGTGCCGATGACCCGTACCAAAGGTAGTACTTACTCGCGATCATACGGTATCGTGCGTGCTGGCCTATTGAAATAAGTACATCAACGGTCGTATATATAGATCCGCGATTACGGGTATTGCAGTCAATGCTGGCTGTGCACCTCACTCCAGATGAGTATGCTCGTGACCGAACGTGCGAATTCATCCTCCTGCACTTTACCTCCGTGAGTGAGCCTTTGCTCCTTGTTACAGTGCGACTGGACAGATAGACATTCAGTGCAGACTGGAGGATCCGGCGTCAACCAAACGACTGTCAAGTCGCTATGCTTGCTCCCTCTCATGGGAACTGCTGTGTAGGAGCATGCTGAAAGGCCTACTACGAATTTACTTGAGACTCCAAATTTATTCATCAGCAGCTGATCCGAGTCTTCCGAGAATTGCTACGATAACCCACCAAGGTCACGGGTTACAAGCTGACGAGAAGAAACGGCCACCTCACGACACCCAAGATACCACGAAAGTCACTACGACAGACAACGCTAACCACCATGACCCACATTCATTGAGATGATCACGTACGACACTCACGACGTCATCGGGATTAGCAGCAAGCGGTGGTTACAACGGAGGGCTCATCGCCTGGTCAGGAGGCGACACTGGCCACATGCTATCTAGCATCTCCAAATATTCAAATCATGTTGTCGGACTTCGTCCCGATGGCGCGGTGCGATGAGACAAAACGAGTGGAGCACAAAAAGCTGCAACGACATTCAACCCAATATCTTCGTCCTCTGCACGAGTTTATTTCAACAGTCTGAAATCTATAACAAGGTCCGCAAGGCTTAGGGAATTCAGTACGTCCGTGTCTTGATTCATTAATCCTCCTATGAGGACTCGTCACTCGTATATCCTGACTCGTCATCGATGCCCTCATCAACCTCAAAAAAATCTCCGTCATCACCTTTGTCACCTCCACCAATTACAGCATCTCTGTTTTCGGTATCGTGTGCTAGCTGCGCGGTTCCGTAGTGGTTGTGTGGACCTTGCTTTCCATCAGCTCCTGCACCTCCACTCAGCACCATCCTCCTCTCCTGCTCGCGTACTGCGGAGAAAATCTTGATCAAATCACAGACGCATTTCCACCTAGTGGAGTATTTGTCGGAGTCTATGTCTTCTTCTTCCCTATCAAGACTCGTCCATGTAATGATTGATGCCAAATTGGGCGCGATGGCTGAGATGAAAGCAGCAATCCTTTCCGGATGGTGAATCCTTGGACTGCCAAAGAATGCCTTAGATAATGCCTTGTGTGAAAGTCCTCCGTAGGGAGCATCAGGGGATATGGCGTGTCCGTCAATGGTAGACCAGTTCACGATTACGGCGACCGAAACAAGACACGGGCAGTGCTGCAACAGCGAGACGAAGGCACCCGGAGTGACTCCACGACTGGAATGTTGCTCTTGGTTGAGATATAATACTTGTAGGAGGGGCCAGGCCTTGGCCATCTGCAAAAGGACAGCATCATCCCATCGCAAACCATAGTCATAGGCTGCGAAGTCGAGCTTGCGAAGATTGCGGAAGGCAAAGAGCGGTCGTAAAACTGCAGTTCTGATTGAAGTGTGACTTGCGGACAGTTCGGTGATGGAGAGCTGCATGCATTCTAGTGAGCCGTGCGCACATCCATTAGGCAGGCGGGAGATCAAAGCCGGCAGGGCCCGTGCGGAATCCCTGATGCTAGTGATTTGAAGGGATATGGATTTTGGAGCAATGAAGAACCTCTCGAGAAAAGCATCCAAGGCCACCACACTTCTGCATCTCACGACCAGTTCTTCCAACACGCAGAATACATGACGCTGCTTCTTTTGCGTATCCACAGAGATGGGTGTTGACGGTAATTTGAACTGTAGAAAACGGAGTGAAGGCAGCTTGGATAGATGTAGTATGGCGGCCTCTGAAACTGTTTCAGTGGTCACTGATGTTAGATGAGACCAGTTTTGTAATGCAGTCGATGGGTGTTCTGATTCGGAGCTCGAACAAAAATGGAAATGGAAATGCGAGACCAAAGGGCACAGCATTGATATGCATGACAAGATGGACTGTTCAACTGGACCAAATGTGCAGGGGGAGAGGTTGAGTTTCGTTATTGTGGGGCTCACAAACAACGGGATACATAGAGATGTCAGTATGGAATAATTACTCCAGGTAAGAGACATTAGGTTGGGGAGCAAGGGAAGGGAGAAGGGAGGATAGCTGAGGGCGCGCCAAGTTTCGTCACCAATCCGTGGATCATCGTCGTTTATAATGAGTGAACGGACATGGTGGTTGTATTTGCAAAAAATAGACCAGTCATCTACGGTCATGACTCTTTGAAATTCCTGGCAAAGGTGTGAACTGGTATGCTCTCAAGTATGAGCCAGAGCTTGACTAACCAATTTTCGTCCCACCTGTTTCCATAGGCTTTGCGGGAGACATCTGATCAGTGGCGCAAACTTAGACAGGTCTTGCCACAAAAGCTTCAGTGCAGGTCCTGTGAATGACTTGCATGTCAAGGCAAGCGCCAGCAGTGTCTTTTTCACCAAGGAATTGTCATTGGCATCATGGACCAGCTGGAAAATCGTCCACTGCAGTTCAGGTATAATGGAGATACAGAGAGTAGACGCCGGTAACTTAAAAAGGTCGCTGCCTCTCTGTCCGCTGTGGGCCTTTCGACGTGAACGGGCTTTGCCTTGATCCTCAACGCTTTCGACAGGGAACTCGGGCTTCATACTAGTAATATAGTGTGTTGCAAATGACATTAGAGGTTGCACGAGAATTGTTTCAAATTGCGCTCGGTGTTTGTAAGATTATTAGTAATGGGTACCTGGCAACTACCCCTACTCCGCTTGGAGGATCCAACACATCTGATTTCCAGCAATACACAGGGTATACTCGCGTATTCGTACAAATACGTAGGTCATCATAGTGCATGCTCATAAATATACGAAAATTCGCCAAGACCGGAACTTGTTGCATCAGGACCTGCTCTGCCCTGCACCTCTCTTTGCAGGAGAACCTTGGCTGCGGGTCCGTATTATATCATTTGAAGCATATGCAACCATTGCGAAAGATCTATGCATGACTGCAGACTAGTAAGTAATACACATAACAGCAGTGACAGAACAACTTCCCACTTGCGTCAACTTATCTCTATGTAAGTACGTTAAGAGGATATCAAACTTTCATCCAGGACTAAGAAAGGTGGCTATAGCGGGTGTGTGAGTAATCGATATAAACAAGCCGGTCGCCAAAAGAAATAGATACTTTAGCTCAGTTCGGGCAAGGTGGTTACGTTCTCCTCGTCGAGCTTTTCGTCACTGTGCGTTATCTGTTGTGTAGGGAGGCTGTCATGCGTTGGTTGGGGCTTGTGATCCGCGCTGCGATCGTAAAAGACCAATAATGAAATGAATTGAAGAGCGACAACTCCGAGGAGGAACCAAAACGTCGCAGCTCGTCCAGCATACTCGTGCGAACCCCCATGGGTAGCCTCCACCGATGTCTCTATCGCGCTCATAGCAGCGAGGCCTATTCCGGATCCTAATTGAAGCGCGCTACTGTAGATAGCCCCAACTGTGCCAGCCTTGGATGAAGGCACAGATCGATAAATAGCAATGCTGTGAGAGAATTACAATTAACATTTGTTCATAAAACCAGGGTGATTTGGGATTTACTTTGAATGTGTAAAAAGCAACATGACTCCTACGCTGCCTATTGAAAATGCGGGGAACACATACGGCCAATAATTCTCGGGCTTTCCCCCACCGAGCGCGAGCAATACGGTGGCGACCATGCACAATGATAGACCAGTGAGAATAATCCACTTGGGACTGAAGATGCGAGAAAGTGGACTTGTGAAACTCGTAGCGAAGGCTATGATGCCAATTGGTATCCTGGTGAGCAACAATGTTCTTAATGATCGGCGATATGGAGTGATAACGAAAACCTTACATATGGACAGCCGACGACATTACCGACCACCCAAACACATTTTGCCACAAGATGCTAAAAGTGAACATCACTGCATTCCACCAGAAACATAAGAATCCAACGACGAGCAGAACGGAGAAGTTGCTGTAGAACCACGTCTGGGGTGGTCTGTAAAGATCAGCCGATGATTGGTATTAGGATTTCAGATGACATACATTGCAGCTTCGTTCGCTGGTAGGAGTGTTTCCCAGTAGAAAAACCCAACCATCATTAAAATCGAAACGATCAGGAGGACCAGCACCATGGGGGATTTCCAACCAACAGTCGAACCGGATGTTATGGCGAAGATGAATAAGATAAAGGCAACTATCAGGGTTTGTGAGCGACACAAAGAAGAGTATTCTGCAACATTTGTACCAGTTAAAATGACTATGCCAACCAAATCAAGAGTTTTCCATTTCGCCTTTTTAGGCTCAAGACTGTCTGCAGTCTCTCCGATTTGTGACGGTATGATGAAAACACCGACCAGAGCCACCGGAAGAGCCACACAGGTTACAAACCAGAAGACCCAATGGTAAGAAACCCATTGGACGAACATTGCACCAACCACGACACCGCTTACTATGTAAAGGGGAGCCGTGAAACACGACCTGCACAATTGAACATGCGGGGTGCTTACTGTTGGCAATCGCACCACAGCTTGAGAAGAACCCCATTGCCCGAGCTTGTTCAAGCGGATCAGGAAATATCTTAACCAGGAGTTTTATGGCAGAGGGAATCGTCATTGCAGAAGCTGAGAAGCGATCTTTGTCAACCAAAACCAACACAACAGCGAGAATGGTCACCTATTCCAGTCATTGCTCTAAAAACAAGGATCGGAATTGTGTTGTCGACAAATCCGGCACACAGCGAGAGGATGCCAAGACTGGACGCTCCTCCGATGAACACAGTTTCTGCGTCCCCTTCAGCATGAATGCCTAACAGGGCAGCATAGCACTAACTCGGGTTATATACGTCGCTGAGACGGCCACTCTAAAATAAGGTGTTGAAGTGCAAGTCAGAGTAAACGGATGGGCACGCACAATAAGCAGGAATGATGAAAAAGTCAATCGGAATGCACTAATCACCCAAGTGGACTGAGCTTCATTCATGCCCATGGATGTCTGGAGTTTAGGAATCGCAGACAAGAGAGCTGAGGTACTGAAGGTATCCATAAACTGAGAAAGGCATAATATCACCAGTAAAACGAGCTTGCGGGAAAGAGGAAGTTTTTTGGGTTTATCATCGTCCAGGGAGGGGGGCAGAGGTGACGACATCGTCCTGAAAAACCATAGACAATACTGAAAGTTGCAGGCAAGATATATATTCAGAAGGTCAGGGATGCAACAGTAGGCGAATGGTTAATATGGAATTGGTTGAAGCTTGACGAGCAACTAATTGAGTCAGAATCCCGAGGTACGTCGTAGCCACGACTGTGGCACGGACTCACCATATATTCTCAACTTTGCGCCGACCCAGAGACCCTAGATATCATTCATTGAACAATCAAATCAAGAAATTTGAATATAATTTGAGGTGGCATCTTCTTAAATAAGTATTCCACGTCGAAGCTCGACCTCATTGAGTTCTTTACCCTGGAGGCGAGGGTAAGATGCATTACTGCGTCGGCTGTACCTGTGGTTTTGGGGTATGATGACGCATGTCAGAGGAATGTTATGCCTTGTATGGAAGTGCACGAAGCGCTGGCAATGGGATGATGGCGAGTACTATTGAGCCATATAGCCTACGGGTACCCAGCGGAGAACTGCGAAGACAGCGCCCTTCTCCACATCCATGGAACAACCGTTTATTAGCCGACATGCGTGCGAATTTTTTGTCGTTGCACGCCGAATTCATTCAGCCTATACTTAAGCTTCACCAGCCAGCCGCGGCTGACCGCTTCGTTCTGTGTAGTGGGTGGTCCGCTCGAAAGAATCATGACTGGCATGAGATTCATCTGCGCTCTCACGCACCTTGCATAATCGCCCGAATCGCCCGAATCGCCCCTCGTTACTCTACTCTCTAGCCTTGCTTTCCCTTTTATTCTACCCTGGATCAACCGTGAAGTTAAAGCCTTTTTGACCTGGACTTGGACCACATATCGCCCGTTCAACGTATGTGACTATTCATTGGAAGAACCCCAAGATCATGCGTTCCGCTGGTTAAACATTTACGTCGTGTCACTGGGAGCGAGCAGCAATAAATGCTCATCCCTAATACTCAGCGCTTTTGATCTCAAGTGACGTCTCTATGCTGTTCGGTGGCCTGGTTCTGCAAGCCCTCAACATCCGACGTGCAAGTATCGGTTCTGCTTTTCATCTCGACGCTTGCCAGTGTACCCCCACCAATAACACCCGATTGATAGGATCTCGATGATGCTCCACCGTGGCCCCTACATCATAGACATCGATCGACGAAGAAATTATAGACGTGCGCGAACGCCACTGCTACACGAATCTACGACTACAAGTTTGTACAAACACGATTTCTACTCAATCGGTGTCCTCATGCTGGCAACACTATGGGACTCATTCTGTGGCAGCGCCCCTCTCCCTTCGTTCGAATATGATAGTCGCTCAGAAGTCAATTGCGAAACCGTAAATCGTCCGGCTCGTATGCTCTACAGTGCTGTGAAACTGCCCGCCGGGGAGGACGCCAAGACCTTGGCCAGAACTAAATCTGCAATTACGACGGCTTGGGGTGTATACGCATAATTCCTCGGCCCTTGCTTCACCCCATGAGATGTGTCTGACAGCCTGAACACAGTAATATACGTGTCGGTCATGGCGAGAGAACCTGACATTCGTCGCAGAGGCCGAAATCGTGACTTCGGTGATGAGAGATAAAGGCTTCACTTGAAGCTCCACCCACGCGTGAGCCTATCCCTGCTCAGTTACTCTATCTTATTGAAACTGTTGCCCCCACAAACTCAACCTCGATGGGAGGGATTAAACAGATACCAAAGTAATAAGCAAAAACAATTGTCAGGTGATAAGTAAGAATAATAGGAGGGGCATTTAATACAGATTACGTCCTGCGGACACGAATACGTTCAAACTTTGGACTCCCGAATGTGATCCGCTATACGTATGCTTTCATGACGCCAGTCTCGTGTGCTGATCATATGCACAACAACCTTCAAGGTTCAAAAACACTGCCTCTCTGGAAGTTCGTCAGCCATACTCCACATAACTGCCAAGACCTACTCACTATTTGTGTTATCAACGTCGTCACTTACCTCGTCGCAAGTGCCAGTGTGACCAGGCCGCCCACTGACTGCGAGGATTTGCGCGAAGGCAATGGACAAGAATAGGATGTAGAAGTTGAGTTTATTGATGTTGAGCACGATCATGGCAATGATACTCTTCGCCAAGGTTCAATGGTTAAGATGTGCGTTGTTGCAAGACGAAATGAGAGTTGCGCTCTTTTAAACATCCGCTCGGTCAGGGGTTACCTTGATCAACTTGATTGCAACTCTCGCTATGCATCCGGGTCGGAGCCACATTAACCAAATCACAGATTTGGAGCGCGTTAGTCTATCTGCTTGAGAATATTGAACTTAGTTGCATCGCACCTCGCAGTGCCGTCAAAGCCAAGCCGAAATTCGGCGCTCATCCAAGACTAGGGAAGTAGAGTACTGCTGTGGTGAGTCACAACCAGTGCTGCGGCATACAACTGCCGCGACGTTCCAAATCCTAACTTACCTCACTAAATTATACTACTGCCACTGGCCTGTCACTGATCATATGCTCGTATCAGAGAATTGAAGGACACATGATAAGATCGCCCATCAACAATCACCGTCGTGCGGGCCGGATTTCAGCGAAAGTGACAGGACTTGTGGCTGCTTATATAATGCCAATGAGTCGCTCGTTTATCAGAAATTTAGTACAATCACATTGACATTGCGTGGTAGCGAGCACTGGGTTTACACCTACGCAGATCGTTTGAAGGCAAAAAATCTAAACAAAACGGAACACCATGCGATAATGTGACGCACAGAAGCAGTAAGTGCATAGCCCGAGCTTGTGAATGTCGATGCATGGAAGGAACCAGTATGCTTGATTCAGGCTCCATGGGACACTGGCACGCGTGGGGAGCATTTTCATGATGCCCCAGTGTGGTACTAGCATGGCTGTACATCGAACTAGAAACACGGTCTGGACTCTGATGGTAGCCAAAGCAAGTTCCCCGATAAGCCATACCTTTATCCCTGCTCAGAGAGTTTCGAGGTCGAATGACTGACTTTATCTGGGGCCTTGGCGGCCGCATCAATGATCGCTGACAATGAACCGATGTATGTTCTTGCCAAGATTGTAGGGATGGCTGTTGTTATCAAGCGTAGTATCACTGTAATAGAGGAGCTTCGCCGGGTAAAGAACACGATGAAGGTTGTGGCAGCGCCATGCTGTATGATGAAGGAAGGGCTTCAATTGAAAATGGCAAAGAACACGATGAAAGTTGCAGCGCCATGCTGTATGAGGCTGTATGATGAAGAATGGGCTTCAATTGAAAATGGCAAAATGTAACTCGGAACCCGACGCGTCCGTATCTCCGATCTACTAGTACATCTTTTGGAGTCCTACTCCGGAACATCAAATGCATCAAACGTCACGCGTTAACCAATACCGCGATAAAACTCCAAGTTCAAACAACTTTCTCGTGCTCCTCGTAAAATACTTAACAAGCATCGATCACTTCGCGCATCGCCCGTCCTACACACCCTCGCCAGTTGACACATAAACACACTCCTGGAAAGCAATCGTAGTCATGCCCGTTCCTGTGTTGGAGCTTGTGCCGGCTATCTGCTTAGTGTGATGTTCGCGAACGCTAAGGATGAGGCGGGGTCCCATCACAACTATCCGCAGGTTCGCGAGAATGTGAAGAACTCCAGCATACGTATAACTTCCCGTGGAAGACGAGTCCTAAGTTATGGAAATAACGAACAGATGTCAGATGCACATAGTACCGTCGATCGACAGATTGGCATACCAGGATCTTTGGAGAGTAATAACCGAGGTAGAAAATAGAAACAGCAAAAAAACTAGCACGCGCAGAACGTCAGCGGAAAGAGAAAACCATATCCAACATACGAGGTCACCTTGTGAAGTAAAGCAAATGACTTTTTATCAACATCATCATACAGTCGTCGATGGTCCATGCTGTCCATGGACGTTGTAGTTGACGGAAGTGTTGGATAGCAATCCAGATTGCAAGAGACAGTGCAACGAGCTCCCATACAGTGCCGAGTATCCAAGTGTCGGACACCAGGATTATGTTGCTTCCCCCGATCGCGCACTGATAGGTGCCAGATAGGACAAGCTTCTCTAGGATTTGTTCCATGAGCCTGGTAAATTTAAATACATTACGAACAATTAATGCTTACCCCCTGTAGTGTGGCTCAGTTGTAGTATAACTGGACAGGCGATCGCGATAGGCAGGAAGACCAAAATGAGAAAGACGAGCATCTTTTTCGATCCTTGATACATGGCGTGCAACCGAGTGATCATGATGACTTGTATCATGATTCGATCAGTTCAATATCACTTGAGCATGCAGCTGAGTAACTCACCGGCCAGAAGGGTACTAACGACCAAAGACATCCAATTTGTTGCAGTGTATATATTATTGCCTTCAAACCCAGTCAACAGTGAGCCCCGGAAAGCCACACACCCCAAATAAACTCACAGCTGTTGCAGTCATTAAACCGAGCTAAGTTCATCAAGAATCTCACTCACCCCTACACAGGAGCGCAGTCAATCGGACAGGAATGACACGGATTGGTCTAGAATACTCACCGCATCTGTCAAGGAGGCCGACGGAAAGCTGTCTGTACGCCACAGGTCAGAAGAAAGAAGACAAATTGCACATGAAACATACACCCTAAATAAATGCTGATTATGAGAGATGACTGGTTAACACAGCACCGACTGTGAAGTTTGAAAACATACACAGTATACAACATTCCGATATAGCGTACCTAGCATTTCAAAATCGGCATTAGTGGTCAACTGCGCTTCACATAAAATGAGGCACATACACTGAAATATAGAAGAGTCACGAAGGACCAGGGTCTCATCTGCCGCGAATAAATTGTATGATCATGAAGTTCTGGGCGCTGCTCACCCAGACGAGTTCAATCTATGGAACCATTCTGAGTCAGATGACTGCTCGGGTATCGGTGGCACCAACCTACCTCTTGTGCGAATGTTAGTACTGGAAATATCATCAGGATATCAGTAATTCTTTAACACTGACTTGCTCACCCCAATCATACACTATCGCAGAACAGGAGGCAACTACGAAACCGCAGTCAAGGCTACTGGTTAGATTACGACATCACCACCATCGTGTTGACCGGCTCACGAACCCACAAAATGATTAGAAAACCGATTCAAATCGATAAGCGCCCACCAACTGGGATCATTTGAGACTAGGGTCATTTTCGGGGGATGACTGGGGAGAACTTGGCGGACGGGTGAACTTGGCGTTTGTGCAAGATATAAGTACCATTTTTGTAAGTATCGTATACAGATAAAAATGGAAAAGTGGGGAAGTCCTTGATTATTGCTGGGATTCCGCTTCCGCTTCTGCCTCGGTATCTGAGATTTGAAATTTCCGAGGCTGTGAGCCATCATGATTTCAAGAGCTTTTGCCATTTATCACCGAAAGCATGTGGATCAAACATCGAACTAACACATATTTGTGTAGATGGCCAAACACATGTCGTTATCATCATCAACACAGGCCTGCCCTGCCTGCGTCCAAGGCGAACAACCAACCACAACGCGCGCGGGTCATCAATTTCTCCAGAAGGCTTGCTGAGCGAGTTGCGTGGAAACTCCAGCACAGATCAGATCTGCATATCGCCTGCAGGCTCAGGCAGTTCAAGGAGATAAGAAAAGTTGACGTTACGTCAGTTGGTAGAACATTAAATCCACGCAGCGTGTTTGGACCTTATTGGCAGAGTGTCAGAGCCTGAGGAAGTAACCAGGATGACTATTCCATGCGCTTCCCAACATTGAACCCAGAGACCGAATCTAAGACTTTGCGAAAACCGTACCGGCGCCGCTGCCGCCGGGCGTTTGAAGAGACATAAAAGCAGTGTGTGATACTCTTTCGCACATGCTGGACGTTACGCCCGACTATTACATCGCGTGTGCGTGTCCTAGAGGCTGCCTGCAACTCGTATCTGCATGTTCTGCGTGAGTAAGCAGCGGGCGGCCAGCCTGTGTGAAGTGCTATGAGACACAGGTGAGAAAAGGACAAGCAGCTACATCCTGAGGAATTGATAGCTTGGCAACCAGCAAAAGTTATGCGCTCAGCGAGACAACTCGGCGATACCGCTCGAGGAAGAGCAAGGAAGAGCCCTGTGCAAAAGTTATTTTGATTGCATAAGCAACAACTCGAGGCCAGACTCAGCGGCTGCTTCCGCTTCCGAGTTGAACTTCAATTTTGTAGGGTCTCGGATCTTTCTTAAAATGAATCAGCTACATCATGATTTGCGACACTGATACCGACAGCACCTATATAATATCACATCAGACGCACTCGGAACGAGCAGCGGGTACCCCAGCCGCTGAGCTAGAGCAAAACATCCATTCTTCTCACCACCTCTCTCCTGCACTATGACTGAATAGTCCCAAAGGGGACAGAAAGTCAACTTCTGCTGGCCAGAGATCCAGAGACTTCTGTATAATCCTGTCGTCTCGTCTCCTAGCTATGGTTATCGTGTGGCATACAACTTTTCTCTCACCTGGCGCATGTTCTTCTAGCCTTTTGTAAGGCAATCCGAGCGGTCTTTGCACATACAAGTGGTAAGTTTCCAAATCTCCGAATCAACATTAAGAATGATCGCATAGTTGACCTCGGCAACTACATAGGTCATTCTAGTCGTGCGAACTGGAGTGAACGAATGCGACCACTGAGTCGTACCTAAATACACACATCCTTAATGGGTCCTTCACTGAGCTCAACTGGCAAACCTACAGTTGTGTCCAATTATATCCTCCCGAGTTTTTCTTGTGCATCGAGCATCGGCACATGTACCCACTTACGCATCTTCCCATGATTATAAAAAGGCTTTGCTCAACTATGTCGTTCAATCCCATCCTCGCAATCACGGTTCGGCGTCATGTGGGTTCTTATGTCGCTCCTACTCGTAAGTGTCGCCCGAGCAGCCATCCCTAATGCCATGCTTCGGGGCATGCCTTCTGTCCCCAAGCTTTCGGTGCCGGAACGGTCTCTCATTTCGCCGAATGGCACAGCACTCCCACCTATTACGACCGTCTATCACTTCGACCAACTCATAGATCACAATGACGCAAGCCTTGGAACATTCCAGCAGCGGTACTGGATGAACTGGGAGTTTTATGAGCCTGGTATGTTGAGAGCATGGAGGTGCGCTCGATGTTAACGCAATGCATTAAAGGTGGCCCCATCATCTTGATGACACCTGGAGAAGGCGACGCAGATGGTGAGTTTCATGATTCTCAATTTGTGCCTTTCTCTCAAGTCGTTGATTATCAGGTTACGAAGCCTACACTACCAATCACACCATCAGTGGTCTCATCGCTCAACAACAGAAAGGTGCAGCCATCGTCATCGAACACCGTTTCTTTGGATATTCCAATCCATACAACAACCTCACGTCGCAATCTCTCGCACTTCTCACCATCCAGCAGGCCATCGATGATCTCGTGAATTTCGCCACCACAGCCGACCTTCCCATGCCTGGGGGTGATGCTGTGAAGCCAGGTCAGGCGCCGTGGATACTGATCGGAGGCAGCTACTCGGGAGCTCTCACGAGTTGGACAATGGTCAAGTGAGTAAAAAAAATCATTCTACTGCTTCAGCATAGTAATAGACCCAAAGCAAACCGGGAATTTTTTGGGCTGGATATTCATCTTCAGGTGTCGTAGAGGCAATCAAGTACGTCACTTTGATGTAGCTCACGATCGTTCCACTTACTGTCGACCAACATAGTGATTATTATGACTATTTCACCCCAATTCAGGAGCACATGCCACAGAACTGTTCCTCTGATGTAGAGGCAGTAATTGCCTATCTGGATGACATGTACGCGGCTAATGACACTGCTGGAATCCAGACGCTCAAGGAGGCGTTTGGCCTCGGCGATGTTATACACATAGGAGATTTCGCTACCGCACGTGAGTCGTCCTTGTCCGATCTCCAATCTTTGTCCGAATCACAGACAACATGATCCGCGTTTGATTTTCTGGTTTGTCGTCGTAACTGACCCTACTCGGACCAACAGTTCAAGATAACCTGTTCGATTGGCAATCTCTCCAGCCTGATGTCGGCCCAGGAGCAATGTTCTTCGAGTTCTGTGATGCACTCGAGGTTAAGGACGGTGTCAATGCTGGACCTGAGGGATGGGGGCTTGATAATGCTATCAACTCTTGGGGCAACTTCTGGAACACCACATACTACAACCATGGTAAGGCGATCCGTTTGAGTTTCGATTGACTTGGCTGAACTTGATAGTAAAGTCTGCGGATACGAGGATGCTGAGTACGTATCTTTGGGACGTAGTCGTCCGGATCGGCTGACGGTGAAACTAGAACCTGTCTCGGGACGTATAACACGAGTCAGTCCTACTGGACCAATGTTACTGTGAATAATGCAAACAGGTCGTGGTTCTGGATGGTGTATGTATTCTCATTCACTTCAATATCCACTCTGATGATCATTCTAGGTGCAACCAAGTCGGATGGTACCAGGTTGGCCCTCCTGAATGCCAGCCTGCCATCGTGAGCCGCATCCTCCAACCCATTTACGAGCAGGTACGTATGTTTGACCTGAATGATGACCATTTGTAAATATGATCGTCAGCGTCAATGTGTCAACATGTTCCCTGAAGCCTTCGCCTACCCACCTCAGCCTACCACGGCAGAGACAAACGATATGTACGCTGGTTGGGACGTGGATATCCCGCGTCTCTTCTTCGCCAACGGCCTGCGTGACCCTTGGCGCGAGGCAACTGTCTCTGCCGATGGGCTGAATAAGCCTAACACTACCAGCAGGCCGATCTATGAGGGTGATGGATTCCACTGCACGGACTTGGTTATACAGAATGGCATCGTAGACGCGACAGTAGCCGCCGTACAGGAAGCAGGATTAATGTACATGAAGGAGTGGCTTGCTGAGTGGAAACCTTCTGCTTGATGACTTGCTATATAGATAGACGAGTTGTCTAATAATACCTAACTTATCAGGCTATATATTCCGGGTCATATGGAGAACATTAGATACTCTATACGTTACCTGTCGTGTGATGTCTGTGCTCACTGTCGGAGTGTGTAGAAATACTCTTCATTGTTGTGTATAACGGCGTGCGTACAGAGCCTTAGTAGATCATATGAAGCAACGAAAATTGCAGTCATCTGTGTAATGGGGAGCTAGCAAGATTATTCCAGAGGAAGCGTATCATGACCCTACGAGAGGGGCACGCTCCTCATCTAAAATTAAGTTCGTGAAGTTTGATTCCGCCGCCTCAAACTGCCAGTACTTCTTCTTGTAGTCCGCAACACTCGGGGGAGGTGAAGGCGCAGTGACGATCTGGAGTGAGGTTAGTCATAATATCAAGCAAGATCACCGATGAAAAACAAACCGGGGTCCAGTTTCTGTTATCGTTGAGGACACACACATTGATATTATCCGGTTTGTGGATGCTGCGGATAAAGTGGACGATTGAAGTCTTGATATCACTGGAACAAAATGACATACTCACATATAGTTTTCGCCATCCTCTGTGGACAACTGGAGCAACTAGGGCTCCTCGATCCCGAGCCTGCCTAAGACCTTGCCTGACTAGTATCATTTCACGCTGTTAGCAATCTTGCGTCTGTGAACACCACATAGACCAACCTCATCGATCCAGATATACTTGCTTGTCGTTATATCAAGGATAATCGCAAGACCCGCAACTGGTTCCAGGACGGTAATCTCAATCTATGGGCATTGATGAGCATAGAAAGCAAGTTGAGCTGTAATGATGCACGCTTACGACATCGCCAACGTCGTAGCCCACGACCTCTGAGTCATTCTCGCCTGACATGGCGACATACCTATTCTCTTGAAAAAGATTCTTGATTCTGTATAGGCCAGAGGGGATCATCGTGCTTGTAGTTGATTCTGCTGAGGACTGAGTGAGAGGGTTGTTGATGCAAAACTGATGAGATATGCTGCGACCTTTATACCTTGGGCCGAAATAAGGCACCTGTGGAGGTTCCTGGGTCACGACTCATTTGGGTACATCGTAAGGAGGACTCCACTGTCGCAGGGGAGTCTTCTGCATTAAAGCTCGTCACATGTTTCTATCACTGTAAGACTACTTACTAACAGTCTAAGCGAAACCTAATCATTCCTCGGGGCCTGGTCGCTTCCGGTTTATCTTCCAAGATCTCGATACCCTGTCAGGTGGCTCGAACTTCACCGCTACATAGCGTAGAGAACGTCAACAACAACCCCTTCTTACCCCGCCATCCCCATTTCAAACAAGGGGACCTTCCATGCAGGCTGTCATCGACCTAATCAGGGTCGCGTCAGATGAATTTGAGGAAAACGCACGGGGAGTAGACGTCCATCTGTTCGCCTCCGAATCAAACACAAGGTGCGGGGGATAAGTCGATTCCAAGCCAAAGCACAAATTGAGAAACAATCGGTCCGATAAGATTTCATGCACCCGACCAACTTGATATGTTAGCCAAGTCCACTCTACTCGGACCAGGCTGGTCCGACCAGCTAACATTGGCTTCCCAGATGAAGCAAAACCCTAGTTTTGCCAGGTTCTGCAAGTTCTGCTGCCAACAGTCCTGTCCATAGCATTACTGATAGAGCCAATACGTACGGAGTTTCAGTAGAGGCTCCGATGCGACAATTTGTAGACAGTGCGGCTAAGCTCGATTGCAAGTCCAGAAAATCTAGGAATCGTGGTGACATTGCCTACTATCGTCTGGCTTGGCTTTGGGAGCTTCATTAGATACTTTGCCAACGGCGGGGACGGCTCATCTGCTGCGCTTCCATCTGAGGTTTTGATGAATAAATCAGCACAACGGGTTACGGATGAACGACCGGTAAGAGGCGGCCTTGGGGATAGGAAGAGATGCAAGTTCTAGTCGAATCTCGAACCGCTGATAGTGACAGCAGTCTGAGGAACATGCATGTCTCGGTTGGGAGGACTGAGAGAGGCCGAAGATAACCGATGGACACTATTCGCGATAGCCACACACGGGGAGGGCAGAACACGACTATTTCTTACTGACCTTTCTGTCGTGGCAGTATACCATGGGGTGTGGCCTCGGTACACAACCAAGCAATGGGTCTATCCCATGTAACTCAGCCCAAAGCAAATATGTTGCGGGCTCATGAAAAGTTTTGCGTGTCCTGGCAAGTGCGGCAAGAGATTTTCGAGACGATGGTTTCTTTGCGCGGACATACGTACAGTTGAAGTCCAGGATTTGATTCAAATCTCCAGAAGATTTCGGATACAAGCAGAGCGTGATGCATCACTTCTACGTCGAGTACTCAGAGAGTCGACTGGTCATCGATGCATCACTCAGTGCAGAGCTAAGACTCATTGACCACGTGATATTAGTGTGAGTTCGATGGCCAAATACATGTCATCATCCGAGTCATGGTCGGCTATCGTCTGCTCTGCCATATCCGTTGTTCAAATATTTTCTTCAAGTGCAACACCTTCCTTTAGTAATAGTAAGTCTTACAGACACAGTATCTTGTCTTGCTATCCAGTAACCATTCGTCGTCTATCGGGGAAGACTGTGACTAGCTATGACTGGGTAGTTATGGCGTCGTCATGATCTTCAAACGTCCGGCGAGGGGTGGTTACTGGAATGCCAATGCGGCTGTAATAAGTCATCTGCCGTTCTTGGTGGATTTGAATCTTGACGTTGTTCGATGTTGAGTACGGTGAAGAGGTTGGTATCTTGGTTCAAGCTGCGGAGGTGTGTATTTTCAGCTTTCTTGATCCTCATTCATAGCGTCAAACTGACTTATATCCCATCTAGACGTCTCGCTATCATATGTGTCTTCCAGATTGTCTTCCTCCACGAAATCATTTCCTTCATCTCTATCAAGTTTCATGCAATACACAGGTCGTGCCATGCTACGGACCATCATGCACTGTTACTTGTGAATAGTCCACCGAGCTTGATGGGGTGCCTTCTTGACAGACTGGGAAGACCATCTGCAGCCTTTGTGTTAGAAGGATTCTTGAATGCTCCGGGGGGTGCCCCAGGCTGGGCCTAGATCCGCTTTCGATCGATATTTTGTATGGGCGTTTTATGTATCACGACGTAAAGCTCCGCTGATAAACTGCTGGCGCATACATCCGATATGCAACATTTCGTTATCAGCGTCTCACGATGGGCTGTAGAAGACGAGGACGTAAGCATAATCATCAAGTGGAGGAAAGTCATACTTCCCGCCTTTGTTCATCCCTCGATTTACTCGCTGCGTCTTGTAGGTACTTAACGTCCTTGGCGCTGCCATGCTAGCGAATATCGGACCAACTCAACAAGGCGTAACAGCACCCCGATAGCCCGATATTCGCGCATGTCAATACCACGAGCCGGAAGATATCGTCCGATGGGTGACCAATGAGTCAATGACCTCATAAATCAATTTTCGGTATGGTGATGGTTCTCAAGCACCACGTAATATCCTCATGATGAGTGACGACTGACGGATCCCGCTAAGGACGAACCGACGTGTAATTGTATGCGGCAACTCCGATCACAAGTACATCATGATGGTTTTTTTCTTACGAATGCTCGAGATTGTCCGAATTACGGCTTGATCATATGCCATCACGGAGCCTAGCCTAGCCTAGCTGGTGTGCTAGGTTTGATTCGACAATGGCCAACCCGATGCTGAAACCGTCCGCTAGAACAGGGCAAAGTAATAGTCCACCCCCTTTGGTCTTGGAGATACGTAAAAACAAATGCGTTATTGTAATGGGCGATGAACGTGAACGTCGAAGCATCTGGACAACGTTCTGCCCAGTGCTCTATACTTAACTTAGGTGTGTTTAGATTGCACTGTAAGCAACGTCTTGGACGACGGTCACGGTGGAACAGTAGCAAACTAAGGCCTCAAAGCACCACGCACTCTAGATTGCCGCACGGCGCACTGATCACGCGTACTAAGATGTGTTGAGACTGGGTGCCTGCACGGTGACTCACTTTACATTTTTGTGCGTCTTCGAGGTTAAACTTGTGCTTCCTCAAGTTCTCCTCACCTGTCACCTCTTCGTGATCCCACTGGCACTTCAGCGCACTACAACTTGTGGCATTCCCATTTCACGCTCACAATGCACATTGCACAGGGTCACAAAAATCATATATTTATGACAGCCCGGAAGCGCGAGTGCCATCCAACTGAAGTCAGCAAGACAGCTAAATTCCTGAACACTCCCAAAAACGCGCGCTCTTCCCACTTCTGCTGCAGAGACTGCGGTACAATTCTAGCCCAAAACATGCATCAACATGCAATTTTTGTCCGCTTCACCGCCGTAAAGATGATTCCCAGGGTACGCTGGCATTTCTCGATCAATCACGATATGCCAGCGGAGAGCGGACCAGGCAGGTATGATCAGTGCATGATTATGTATATTCCTAAAATTTACCACCGTCATCGGTCCTCCGGGAATCCATAACGAGACCCCCACTAACGTCTTGCCGGGCAAATTGGGCCGTGGAGCGACGAGTCGGCAGCTTCGTGAGTAGCACGCCTATCAGCAACTTATGATACATCCCGGTACTATGGCTACATATAAAAGGTCTTTCCTCCACTATGATCATCCCGTCTAGTCTGATCCTTGTGCTCAAAGCTCGACATGATGTGGGCCCTAACGTCGCTATTACTTGCGGGGATAGCCCAAGCAGCTATTCCCAATGCCATGCTTCGTGGCCCTGCTCTCCCCAAAATCCCAGTACCGGAACGTTCGCTCACTTCGCCGAATGGCACAGCACTCCCAAACATTTCGACCGTCTATTACTTCGACCAACTCATCGACCACAATAATCCAGGCCTTGGAACATTCCAGCAGCGATACTGGATGGACTGGGAGTGCTATGAGCCTGGTATGTCGCGAGCGTCGAGGTGCGCTTCAAGTGATATTAACGTAATGCATTTGAGGTGGTCCCATTATTTTTATGACGCCTGGAGAAGTCAACGCAGATGGTTGGTTTTACTATACCTCATTTTTAGCCTTTCTCTCAAGTACTTGATTTTCAGGCTACCTAGGCTACCTCACTAATCACAGCATCAATGGTCTCATTGCTCAACAACAGAAGGGTGCCACCATCGTCATAGAACACCGTTTCTTTGGTTTTTCCAATCCATACGACAACCTTACATCACAATCTCTCGCACTCCTCACCATCCAGCAGGCCATCGACGATCTCGTGAATTTTGCTACCACCGCTGACCTTCCCATGCCTGGGGGTGATGCTGTGAAGCCAGGTCAGGCGCCATGGATAATGATCGGAGGAAGCTACTCAGGCGCCCTTACTAGTTATACGATGGTCAAGTGAGTACCACAAATAGATTCTGTTCTTTTTTCAGCATGGTAATCGACTGAAAGCAAACCGGGAATTTTCTGGGCTGGATATGTTTCTTCTGCCACTGTGGAGACAATCACGTATGTCGCTTCATTGCAATCATCGTTTATACAAAATTGATGTGATGAAATGCTTCCCTCTTTCGTCATAATCACCTTCGGCATGGATGAATATGCACCTAATGTGGTTTCTCGACCAAAACAGTGACTATTATGATTATTTCACCCCTATTCGCGAGTACATGCCACAGAACTGTTCTTCAGATGTACAGGCAGTGGTTGCCTACCTGGATGAAATGTACGCGGCTAATGACACCGCTGGAATCCAGGCGCTTCAGGAGGCATTTGGCCTCAGCGTTCTCGATCATGTAGGCGATTTCGCTACCGCACGTGAGTCGTCATTGTGCTTCGTTCAGTCTTCAATACTTGCATAGAATCGACATCTGCGCACCTTCTGATTCGCGCAATGCCTATTTCTGTTTGTTTTCGCCTTCAGCTGATTATCCTTTTTATTCATGTCGCGTCGCCCGTTTGGATACGAATTCATCTATTTGCCTATGCTTGGTTATCTTGGATATCGCTGACGACGTTCTTTTCTCGATTCCGCTGCCCATTGTTCTCGCTGACTCTTCTCGGACTTATAGTTCAATACAATCTGTGGGATTGGCAAGATATGCAGCCTTTTTATGGCCCGGGAGCATGGTTCTATCAGTTCTGCGATGCACTCGAGGTCAAGGACGGCGTCAACGCCGAACCTGAGGGATGGGGACTTGAGAATGCCATCAACGCTTGGGGCAACTTCTGGAACACCACATACTACAACCATCGTAAGGCGATCCGTTTGATTTTTGGTCGGCATGACTAAACTGGATGATGAAGTCTGTCAGGATATGGATGTTGAGTACGTATTTTTGGGACGTGGTGTCGTTCAGACTGGCTGACGGTAAAGCTAGAACCTGTCTTGGGACGTTTGTTCCGACCGACACCTACTGGACCAATATTACCGTGAATAATGACGGCAGGTCGTGGTTCTGGCTGGTGTATGCATTCCCATTCTCATTCGCGTCAATAACCAGTCTGACAATCATACTAGGTGCAACGAACTTGGATTCTATCAGGTTGGCCCTCCTGAAGGCCAGCCTGCGATCGTGAGCCGCATCCTGCAACCCAGTTTCGTAGAGGTACGTATGTTTGATTCAAAAAATGACTATTGATCAACATTATCATCAGCGCCAATGTGTCACCATGTTCCCCCAAGCCTTCGCCTCTCCACCTGAGCCTGCCACAGCAGAGACAAACGCAATGTACGCTGGCTGGAACGTGGATGTCGAGCGTCTATTCTTCACCACTGCCCTGCGTGACCCTTGGCGCGGGGCAACTGTCTCTGCCGATGGGCTGAATAAGCCCAACACTACCAGCATGCCTATCTATGACAGCGATGGATTCCACGCCTCAGACTTGATCACGAAGAGCGGCACTGACGATCCGACAATCGCTACCGTGCAAGAAGCAGGATTAAGGTACATGAAGGAGTGGCTTGCTGAGTGGACTCCTACCTTATAATAGATCGAACCACCTGGACTTATTGTTAAATAATTTGTCGTGTTATAATCTCGAGGTGCAGCGGACGGATCCTGCTGGTTCCTTCCGACCACTTGGGAACCAGCACCCGTGATATTCAAGAACCTCGATTAATTGATTTATTTATTTTCCATTATACACCTGTAGCTCTAGCACCAGTGCTACGAAAGTTCGAAACAATAATGTGAGTCCTCTGAGTTCTGGGCTAATTTTTTCTGATAGGCACTTCACTATTGTGCTCGATCTAGAGGAAATGCCGGAAGGTGCCCCAAGTTGAGTTTTACGACCGTGATCTTGACATTTTTGACTCGTAGAGTTTCAGTGATGTGACGCAATGGAAGGCGGAACAAAAGGGCAAAATGAAATGACAAATGCGGACCACGGCTCAATGACGCCCTGTCAAATACGATCTTTCAAGTTCGGTCAGATGCCTGTGAGTACTAGAAGTTTGTTGACACCGCGCAGTTACTTCTTTTGCTGTTTAACGTTTACCTTTCTCAAGCTCGAGCTTGAACACTGAACTTTGCAAGCACATTGATCGGTGGGATTTCGAAAGGACTCAGGAGCCGGTAGTTGTGCTATCATGTGCAATTTGGTACCACATGGGTTCGTACTCAAGGCGTGCATGCAGAACACATCATCTTGAGAACGCAAAGTAGTAACGTACCTGCGACATGCCCACTTTGGGTCAGTGACGGCGATTGCGGCAAATGTTTCCGCGGTGGGCTGCACAGCGGTACCGTGAAACAGCCCAAAGATAACAACCAGTGCATCACATCGCCAAAACATTCAAGTTCGTGGGCAAGTTACGATACGGTACTATATCGCCACCCCAGCGGGCCGGCGAGCGAGTAGTACCAAAAGGGACTTACGCCTCCCTTAAATTCTATTGTGTATGGAATTGCGGCGTATTCTGGTCTTCTCCAAAGGAGCTCGCCGAGCCATGCTGGTCGTCGTGTGGTGTACAGGTCTTCTCCCACCTGGGACATGTGCTACAAAAATCAGATGATGATCAACAGGCTTTCGTAAGATATTCCCGAGGTCCAGCCGGCCTTTGCCATGGCATTCAAGCCCCAGCGCTAACGAGCTTCTATGTATTAAATCTCCACTCATCATGGGCTCATCAGCCTATCAAGAATGTAAGTATAGTCCTTCCATGGATTATTGATCAGAACTTACAACTATCCATCTCAGCCGTGCGAGCCACAAGTCCATACGCGTTCTTTTGCCAACTTTGTTTAGCGCAATTTCAAGTTTAGGCCGTTGAGTAACGTGCAACTACGTCCAATTATATCCTGACCCTCTTGCCGAGTCTTGCTTGCGAAGCGAGTAGCACATGTTTCAGTGGCAAATGCAGTGTGATGCCCCCATGGTGACTATAAAAGGTCTTTCCTCGACCATCATCATGTTGTCCAGTTTCATCTTTGTTATCAAGGCTCGACATGATGTGGGCCCTTGCGTCGCTCCTTTTTGCAGGGCTTGCCCGAGCAGCTATCCCTAATGCCATGCTTCGCGGCATGCCTTCTCTTCCGAAAATCCCAGTGTCGGAACGTTCTCTCACTTCGCCGAATGGCACAACACTCCCACCTATCACGACCGTCTATTACTTTGATCAGCTCATCGACCACAATAATCCAGACCTCGGAACATTCCAGCAGCGATACTGGATGGACTGGGAGTTTTACGAGCCTGGTATGTCGTGAAGGTTGAGGTACAGCTTCGAATGACGTTAACGTGATCCATTCAAGGTGGCCCCATCATCTTGATGACACCCGGAGAAGCTGACGCGGATGGTCAGTTCACTATCCTTGATTGGCGACTTTCTCTCAAGTATTTGATTTTCAGGCTACGAAGGCTACCTTACCAACGAAACCATCAATGGTCTCATTGCTCAACAACAGAATGGTGCAACCATCCTCATCGAACACCGTTTCTTTGGCTATTCCAATCCATACGACAACCTCACGTCACAATCTCTCGCGCTCCTCACCATCCAGCAGGCCATTGATGATCTCGAGTATTTCGCCAATACCGCCGACCTTCCCATGCCTGGGGGCGATGCTGTGAAACCAGGTCAGGCGCCATGGGTACTAATCGGAGGAAGCTACTCGGGAGCCCTCACTGGTTGGACAATGGTCAAGTGAGTAACATAACCAAAAATGAATGTTTGTTGTTTCAGCATAATGAATTGACGTAAAGCAAACCGGGACTTTTCTCGGCCGCATATGCATCTTCTGCCGTCGTAGAGGCAATCACGTATGTCACTTTGTTATAATTACCGCTCATGTCCCATTGACGTGGTTTCTTCATCCTCCCAACCATTGAAATGCTGTCTCGCTCAATCAAAACAGTGACTATTACGGATACTTCACTCCTATTCGCGAGTACATGCCACAGAACTGTTCCTCTGATGTGGAGGCAGTGATTGCGTACTTGGATGGAATGTACACGGCAAATGACACCGCTGGAATCCAGACGCTCAAGGAGGCATTTGGCCTGGGCGATGTTATACACGTAGAAGATTTCGCCAGTGCACGTGAGTCGCTCTTGTCCTTCCTTCAGTCCTGAATCTTTGCGATGGGCACAATGGTCCGCAGTGCTTCTGATCCGTGCAACATCTATTGCCGTTTATCTTGCCTTCACCATACGATGAATATCCTTTCCGTTCATGTTGGATCCCTCGTATAGTGATAGATTTCTCCTTTCCTACATGCTTTCATTGAATTTCCCTTCCGCGATGTTCTTGGTCTCATTTTGTTCTGCTGGGTTCTTGACTCAACTGACTCTCCTGCAGTTCAATACAACTTGTTTGATTGGCAATCCCTGCAGCCCGATGTCGGCCCAGGAGCAATGTTCTTCCAGTTTTGCGATGCACTCGAGGTCAAGGACGGCGTCAATGCTGGACCTGAGGGATGGGGACTTGAAAACGCCATTTACTCTTGGGGTAACTTCTGGAATACCACATACTACAACGATAGTAAGGCAGTCTCCTTAATCTTCGATTGACATGACTAAACTTCACGGTAAAGTCTGTGGATACGAGGATGCTGAGTACGTATTCTTGGGACTTAATCATTTGCATTGGCTGACAGTCAAGCTAGAACTTGTATTGGCACATATGACACGAGCCAGTCCTATTGGACTAGTGTTACCGTGAATAATGCGGCCAGGTCGTGGTTCTGGATGGTGTATGTATTCTCATTCGCTTCAATATCCACTCTGATGATCATTCCAGGTGCAACCAAGTTGGATGGTACCAGGTTGGCCCTCCTGAAGGCCAGCCTGCAATCGTGAGCCGCATCCTCCAACCCATCTACGAGGAGGTACGTTTATAGGATTGAAGAAAATAACCATCCTGAATATAATCACCAGCGCCAATGCGTGAACATGTTCCCTCAAGCCTTCGCCTATCCACCTCAGCCGACTGTTGCCCAGACCGACATGATGTATGCTGGTTGGGACTTATATGTTCCAAATCTCTTCTTCGCCAACGGCCTGCGCGATCCTTGGCGCGAGGCAACTGTCTCTGCTGATGGGTTATTTAAACCTAACACTACCACCATGCCTATCTACGAGGGCGACGGATTCCATTGCTCGGACTTGGTCATAGAGAATGGCATTGTAGATCCGACTATCGCGGCCGTACAGGAAGCAGGATTAATGTACATGAAGCAGTGGCTTGCTGAGTGGAAGCCTTCCACGCGGTAATAGATTACATAAATTATTGGGATTGAATACAATGCATGATAAACTTGCGCAGGTCTTGATTTCAAAACGTGACTTCCCGTGTACACGTGATCTTGATAAGTCAAGCAATATTTATATCGTCTTTATGGACAATCACCGGAGCGATCAAGACCACTGCGTTCGGGGAGAAGCATCCATGCCATTACAAAGTGTATTTTTCTCCGCAACAGCTCCGTTTGTTCTGTATTGCATGTGATTCCAAAGACACTCCTCGCACTCTATTCCCTCAGATGACATCGCTCCGACGCCAATTAATACTATGAACCGGAACGACATCCTCCCATGGCCACCAACTACATCACAAATCAATTTGCGGTCTTCCCTGATTGTTCTCAGGCACCACGTAATATCCTTACGGTGAGAGTGACACTCGGCGCACGCTGATAAGGACGAACATATTAATGAAAAATCCCCACCGCGGATGTCGTCGTATAGCATTGCCAACCATGAGTACATGCTCTTGAATATTTGGAGATAGAAGCGAGACAGGGGAGCTGACCATCTATGACTCCTGCAGGACTTGCCTTGGGACCACGCAATCTGAGACATATGTAAGTACTTGAATGGAAGTGTGAATAATACTACTTAACTCGTAGGACCGTCTCATGGGCCAACACGGAACTAAGACAGCTGATCCCCATCAAGAGGCACGCAGCGGTGCGATCCTGAGGCTATTTTTTGAAACAGGAGTGGATAGCCAGGTCCGAATATCTGAATGACTGGCTCGAACTGGCGAGAGATCAAGCTGTGCTCGATGTGCCTCCTCGAGAAGCATCGTGAAGTCGTGACCTCGGTGACGTCGTACATATTAGCTGCAACGAAACTAAACCCTAATCCGTCCGCATGCAGACCCATATAGCTAGCCCCCTAGACATTGATTCGATAACGAAAACTTTGGAAATCGCTTGACCTATCGCGCACACCCTAGTCGGCTGTGGTCCCTTGATCTGGACTTTGCCACAGCTCATGTTGTTATCCTGTACAGATTTGGCCTTTCATTGACCAGTCCGCGCGTGTCGTGTGTCCTGTTGGTCTTTTTAATGCGTTGCATCAATCTGCGATAGGCGCTGCGAAGCCCTTTTTCAAGGAATTCAACATGATGGCATGCACCACGGAAATTACCTTGCGCCGCATTAAGTCGCGCAGTGTCGCCTGCGGCGAGAAGCATCCTAAGCTTCGTTATGAAACTCTGATGGCCCATTCGAACGCTCAAAACACACCTACGAGATCGAGTACGTCAACTTCCACGCTCTTCTGGGCCTTTGCGAGTCTGGCGCTCCACTGGCAGAGTTGGATAGAAGCAGAAGAAACTCCTATTCAGTAAAATGCATCTGATCAGCGCAAGTCTGGACACCACGATTTCTCGTAATATTAATGTAGAGATGTGTGCAGTATAAAGGCCATTGGCACGTTGGGCGTACATGTACTCAAACACCCGATTGAGTAGCTAGTTTCAGAAGTCGTCATGGCTCCTCAGAGGTACATGTACCTCAGACAAGAAACGCGGTCTCGTGCGAGTCTGTCGTATGGATGCCCACAGGTTTACTTGCAGTGTCTCTTCAAGTGCACACCAGGCGAAGAGAGGGGGCAACCACGCCCAGGCCAGTATCTCTATTGTTGCTAAAAATTGAAGCCACCACACTCCAGAAGCATAACATGCGATCAAAAGAGCTATGGAATCTTGTTAGATCCATGTCGGCATCAATATAGAACCGCTCACATAACATCAGAAAGACGATAGAAATGGTGAGGGATATAGCCGGCCAGCTGATGAATAGAAGCGTACAACACAGTCGAAAGCGCGTGGCAGTCAGGATCTGTAATTTTGTGAATACGCATACGTGCAAGCTAGGTCTGCTGCAAACATTTTTAGCCCATATTCGATCACAGCCTTCGTATATGTTAACCACGGCCAAACCACAAAGTAAGCCACCGAGGGCATGCGCGAATGCCCCGAGGGCTAAAATATAGCAACCACGTAATGTGTATGGAAGGAATGTTGTTAGGGGTGGTTGTGTTGAAACAAAGACCGCCGAAGTAGTGAGCACCTGCAATCCAGTATTCGATTTCTTCACATCTTGACTGCTAAGAATGCTACGCACCAAGCCCGCCTAAAATGACATATATCAGTACATAGTAGTTAGTGCCATACTGGTATTTCCCACCGCTATGTTAGTACCGCCCAGCCTGTCAACAACACTCTTCTTATGTTTCTCCCATTCATCATCATTGATCTTGGACTTCCAGTGATGTTCGAGGGACGGTCTTGTCATCGAGATTAGACAGAGTGCACGAAATAGCACAGATTGTATAGGGTGCTGTTTAGAGTCTGGGACCGCCCACCAGATCGGCAGCGGCTCGGATGACCTACAAAAGTTGAGTAATCGATGATCCGAGAACATGGAGGCTACTTGCTGATTGGTTGTGTTCTGTGGCATTCCCAGCAGGTCAACGCAGTCCCGATGCTGGAGGTTCGAGCTTCGTTCTCTCCGGTGACACTGGAGCGGTCTTATATAGTTCGCTGTGAAGTATATATGTAAGCATACCATACCTATACTAGCCAACCTAGCATGCACGATGATTACCAGGTAGAGGCGATCTGCATCAGACCACGCATTGACTAGCAGTCTAGCACACCGTCAGTCCACTTTAATATATACCTATTCATCCACGAAGTTCGCAAACCCTAGATTCTTGACAACCCTGAACATACCAAATTCATAGACAGGCGTTAGAAAGTCTCCAAGAGAACATCCAACTTGCGTGAAGCTGCGATTGTTTGCGCTCTGCTTGACCTCAGCTGGGGACTCCATAGATCGCGAACGCCATGATAATGATGCTAGAAGCATACACCTGGTACAAAAGATCGCCTGGGACCAAGAAGTAATGCTTATGAGTTGAGTCAAACCTGCAACCTCTGTTTTAGCGCTTCGTAGCGCTCCTGTGTTCCATGCCGGCTATGAGGCCATAGTCAAGCCAAAGCGGAAGCATTGCATGATCTTGGCTTCACGTCAATTAATGGAACGTTGAAGCCGCATGGCGGGATTTGGTGGCAGAATACTAGAGTCACTGAGAAATGACAACTGACAGAATTGTATAACAAGCGCCTCTCAGGACGACATGGAGTACGAAGAGCGTATCCGGGAATTGGAAAGGCAATTAATACCGGCGGCGCTGCAGAAGAGCGCTTCAAGTGACAGAGAAGCGGCCGTACTGTACTCGGACACTGTGCTGATGATGTGGCGATCACACTAGCAGCGTGTCACAGTGCGTGGTACAGCATGGCTGCTTGTCAATGACTCAATGCTAAGCAGCCCATCCATACGGTCTTGTAATACCAACTGAGCAAAGACAGGGACAGACAATATTTAGGCCAGCGGAGGAATAAACAACCCACTGCGCTTGCACTGCGCCGACCCCCCGGTTTGGCAAAGGTTGTTGACCTTTGTTATGTTCGGTTACACTTCATCGGCACCTGCCGTACCCCTACGGATTTTCAACGTGTCCGATCAACGTTTGGTTTCGCCAGTGCGGTACACCGTAGTTGTTCTACTGTCGGTAAGTATTGCGTTCAAGCCTCATTTCGCGGACAATACTAATAGCTACTTGCAATGCAGATTCTTGTGACCTAATGATATGCCGACCGCCATGACTGGTACTGAAATTTAGCTAAGCTTTCAGTATTCTACCTTTTGGTGTGACAGTTATGAGGCGCGGCAGCTGACTACTTTACACTGCCCTGGTATTTGTGGAATTCGTCGGTCCTATCGCAGTAATTATCATCACATCAACGACTACCAACAAGCCGAAAGGGAGGGAGGCCGCAACGGGTTGATCTTGTAAGGTTCTTTGTCGGTGATACGCTACTTCAGCGTGCATTTGATTTCTCACCTTCGTGTTTCGTCGAGAGGTCTTTAGTGCTCCTCACAGCACCACACACTCGGTCTCGTGAAATGAACGACTCTAAAGCACGTGTGTTGATACCATCAGGACACCTACGGTCTGATATCAACATTGTCCTGATTGTGCTGCAGTCTGTGTCGGGGTGCCGTGGGATGCTTGTCCAACTTCGACTGTTGGATTAACGAAGGCGATCTAACGCGAAGGCTCAGTAGGTTGGGCTGAGTCCGAGCTTTTAGCTCGGGCTGGACGCTGAAGGATTGATCCGCTTACCCTAATGCTGGTGAGCTCCGACCGCGGCTGACTTCAGCGGCCAAACCCAACCGAGCGAGCTAGCTCATGCGTGGGATGTGTGATTGCTTGCTAGGCCGCCCAGGTGCTGCGTCGCTACTTGTTCGAACGCCCTAATGTAAGTCTCGTATGCGAGGGATTTCCACCGACCTGCTATGCACACTATTTCCGGATCTACCTTGTTGGCGAGGTAAAACGAGGCTCCGCCAATCCTAAATGAGTGGCCGAAGGTTGTCCCCCAATTCCAGGCTGTCAATATGCTGTTGATGCTTTCGATGGCCCGGGTCTTGACCATCGGGCGGACGAGCCCTTTATTATCTCTCCACGAAAATAGTGGGTCGTCTGGAAGAGCTGGGACGACTTCCGCTAGATTTCTAAGCGCTTGAATTGGGCAGAGATCACCTTGTTCGACGATGAAGACAGACTGAGTTTCCCCAGATTTTGCTGTCTTGGCTCGTGGAAGATTGAGCCTGGTGTATGGTTTTCCTGCTAAGTCTACCCTGAGGAAAACATCTTTCCTCGTAATGTGTTTCGACTTGTCGAAACTCGCGCGAGCGTTGACGGCTACCTCTCCGAATCGCATCATTCCGAAGAATGCGCAGCTGGACATTGCCCAAAGGCACGCATCGAATGGTTGGTCTGTTCGAAGGGTGGCCTTGATAGCCGTTAGCATTTGGAGTGTAATTGGGGGCCTGACTGGTCTGCGGCGAGTTCCTTGCAAGTTTTCCATTCCGCGGAGTGACCAGTTAATCCGCGTGAAGTGTTCTGGTGATAGCGGAGGTGGCCATCCTTGTGCCAGATGCCATGCGCGGATTGCGGACAAGTATTTTCTTGCGACTGAAACTGAGACCGGTTCGAAGGGTACTGCCTCGACTGATGGTGTCTTCATGAAAGATTCTGCTGTGGAGGGATCGGAAACAGCCCAGAGTGCGAAAGAGTGTAGTACTTCGAATGATGCTGGTAGGCGGTCGGCTTCTGAGATGGAGAAGATGTCGCAGAACACGTGGAATTTTCGTAGCCCCGACCCGTAGCTGGTTGTTTCTCGCAGCGAGGCTTGATTGGAGACGTTCGCGAGAAATTGGATGACAGGGTGTTCGATCGTGGATGGTGGTGGCGTGTTGATGCCATGCCAGCAGAAAATGCGATATTCCGCTGTGCAAGGAGGTTGTAGCGGTGATGGTCGAAGGGATAATAAGTCTTGAGTTGCTGGGGGAACGGGAATGTGTGATGAGGAGTTCAGACTGTAACAAAGGATAATTTGTCGCTGAGGTGCGACGGTAGTGGAAAATTGGTTCTGAATGATGGACCCGAAGAAGCGCCTCGAAAGGCTCGAATATCGCCCCGCGAAAGCGGGTCTGAGATGTTGCTTTGTCCCGGTACGTGTTCGACCTTGAGGTGTATCCCGTGGTGCGCCTACATCGATAACGTGAGCTCGATGCATATCTCTGTTAGCTGGTAGTTACCTGCAATAAATAGATTTCTTTGAGGATGACATTCGTTGGCTGGTTTCTCGAGCGGCCTTTGTTTATTGCTGCAACTACTCCCGCGTTGTCCGAACGGACGAGGATGGAGCGTCCTTTCACGTCGATCTGATCTGCGAGCCCGAGATGGATGGCTAGCCTCAGGCCGAGCTCTATGGCGATGGCTTCGGCCCAGCCTATGTCGTATTCGAGGCCTGGGCCCACGCGAAAATTGTCTTTCCATCTCCATGCCGCCCAGTGTTGGCCTATCACGATGCCCACTCCGAAAGACGTGCTCACGTCGCCCCACCATTGGAGGTCGATAGGGAGGGTGGTGCGCAGAGGCCTTTCGCATGGCGAGATTGCTAAGATTTCAATAGCCCACTGTAGGTCGGCTGCTAATGAACTTGGTACATGTAGTCGCGCTCGACGAGACTTGAATTTGTTGGCGAAGAGGGCCACTGAATGAAGGAAGGGGCGAATTAGTGGAAATATTGCTGATATATGTACTAGCTTGCCATGCAGGCTCGCCGCTTCGCTCGCCGTGAAACGTGCGCCCTTTACGAGCCATGACTGCATCAGTGCTAAGGTTTTCGTCATCTTCTCTTCTGGGAGTGACACCGCTCTTCGAATTAGGTCCCAGTCGAAGCCGATGTAGCGCTGGATTGTTGCAAACGCCCTTAGTTTCTCCAAGCTCCAGGGAACCCCGAAAATAGACGAAAGTTTGATGAAATCTTCCTCTGTCCACGTTTGGTGTGGAAGACGGATGACAAAGAAGTCGTCTACCCATTTTCGAATTGGGCTGAATCCAGCTTTCTCGTATATGGCTACTAGCATGTCTGCTACTGAACCGAAGACTCCTTCGCTTGAGCTCAATCCGAACATTAGGGCTCGATCGACGTATACGCGATCGCGCCATAGTATGCACAGCGCCATTGTTGGCTGGGGTGAACGGGCACGATTCTGCATGCTGACGCGATGTCGAATGTCGCTGCGACACATCCGTCTGGTAGCGAGAGAATCAACTCCACTAAATTGTCGAACGTGCCCCACTCCGTCGGGAATGCGTCTGGGTCTATGCCCGCGTTGACGGAGAGGTTCTCGGGGTCGTCGCGTGGATAAGACATGTCTTGAACAAGCCTGAATTTTGTTGAGTGCGGCTTCGGTACGAGGCCCAGTGGGGACGTGCGAAAAGGGCCGATTAATGATTCTAGTTCTGGGATTGAGTAGGCGCGAGAGTAACGCCCAGCGTTCTGCTCGCTGATTATATATTGGTCTATGATGTCGATATTGAGTTGCGAAGATGCGTGATTCTCGAAAGGTCATTGTGGTTTTCGGTGTTTCTCTGACTCCTATGTCGAAGCCTTCCTCTATGTTGGATATCATATGTTTCCAGTCGTCATATATATTATATTCATATAGTAGCTCCTTGAGCTTCGATGCGATGAGGGGGGTAACTACCCGCCTAGGATCTAGGCCGGGTTGCTCTGCAGGTTCCTGCGCCGTGGGCAGTGTCTCCACAGATGCTGCAACCGTGGTAGTTGACGCACGCGTTGGCGAAGTGGCAGCTGGAGAACCTCGCCCATCCGATGCAGAAGATCTTTCCACCTGGAGCGGCAAGGGCGTGTGCGCTCTTGGCTGAAGATGCGATTCGTGCCGTTGGGTGTCCAGTGACAGTCGACTCCGCTGTGCAGTCGCCTGGAAGGTGGTCTGCTCCTCCGCACTGAAAGCACTGGAGTCTGGCTTTCTTCTTTGGCGGCTGCTGAAACTGGGATGACGATGTTGGTGATGGTCTCTTTAGCTGCGGTTGGCTATACGGTGCGGATATGGTGGGCTGCCTGGCCACTATGCACGTTGCGATGATTGTTAGCGCCCTGTCGTCCAACTGTGATAGGTCGTGTTGTGGGTGTTGCGCGACCATTTCGCGTTGCTGGATGTCGTATTCGACTGCTACATCCCATGAGTGCGAACGGCTGAGCCCTAGGACCACGCTATGGTGTGCCTTTAGTGCTTTCGCACGCGCGACTCCATGGTAATGCTCTGTGCGGTCCTCTGCTGCATCGGCTGCCCCGATCCAGTCCGACAGCGTGATGCTTCTCTCGTTCCTGCGATCGAGTCCCTTGGCCATGAGTGAGCCTGATGCGGATATGGTGAAGGCTTCCTCGCCACTCCTTATCGCCTGCCAACGAGCCGACGAGGTGAGGGTACTATATGGTACATACTTGAAGGCTTTGAATGCCTCGTCGACTTTGGGTGGCACAGCTGTAAACGATGAGCTTGGTGTTAGCTCTCGTCTTCTCGTGGTTGGTGGGTGCACGGGCTGGATAATGCCCGTGACCAGAAGCGTAGTTAAAAGGCGAATTTTGTGGGCGGCCTTTAGCCACCCTCCGGACCACTCTATGGTCAGGCGGAAACGACGAGTTTGGCCTATTGCCTGGTGTATCTTATGGGTCGCCTTTAGCGACAGAGCCTGTCGCTCCGTTTGGTTTCGCACTGGCCTTTAGCTCGGTGTTGGTGTCGACTGCACATGGGCGCACAGCTGTGTTAGCGTGCCTTGGGTTGGATGGGTAAGACCCAAGGCGCTGACCACTGTATCCTTTGTGCGTGTGGCACGAGGCACGCGAACGACTAGGTAAAGAAAAGTGGTTCTCACCAGTGTCGAGGGGGTTTTGCCTTGTAGCCCGGTACTACGTCGGGGAGGGAAACCTTAGGTTCGTCTCGCTTGGCTGCAATGATAGCGGTCCTCGCCTTCTCCACCTCTTCTGGTGATGCGAACAACGTGGGGTTGGCTGCCT